AATCTTTAACACAAATACCCATGTGGACAATTTACGTTAAAGTATTGCTTATATAATGAACGTGCATTTATATTCCCGTGTAGTCATGAATCCGCCGTCTGATTTCTTTTCTTCTTTTTCCAATGTAGTATTACACACATAAGAAAAAAAATTGAGGAAACAAATCAACATATTTTATATCATAAAACAATAATTACTTCAAAGTGATTATGAACTAATTGTGGTTGATTTTTTCATGTCCCTAAAAGTCCTTTTCTCTTTTGGCTGTTTCAACCACCTATAATTAATAACATATAAAATGTTAAGATATAGCAATCGTTGACCGATATCTAGACAATGCTGCTCATGTTTCATTTCAATGATAACACCTCTCAGATGGGCTCATAAATCCCCACGTTTTCTATAGCGTAAAATAGACACCAAGCAACGTGCACTGAATGTTTTGTCGCCTCCTCGATTACTATTTTCACTTTCCGCATAAAAAGCATTGTCCTCCTTACTACGATAATTGACATATCATGATCATGTTCACCTCCGGCGAAACAAGAGCTTGGCCCCGATAACGTCCTTGTCAGGCCCACTTGTCAGCCGTTATCTAGTACTGATCGAGCTGGAAAAACAACTACCTTACACTCGAGCGTGTCAAAACCATACCCCTAACCAAACATGTATTTTGATAGCACCAGAAAAAAACACTTTTGTGAGATATTGAATTTTTGTTTACATAAGCTATTAAAAGTATATTATTTAAAGTGTTGTGTTTTCTTGTTTATATTTGAACTAATGCTTTATGATATATCACAATTGTTATTTCCCTTACTAAAAAATCAATTTATTCTGATGTATTGTCTATCCAGTGCTTTATCAAATGTATGATAAATATATGAAAAATCCTCGGCACATTCAATGCTCCATTTTCGCTTATCGAAATCGTCTTCCTCGGTTTGGGAAGACATACAATGAATAACACCTTTCAATATAAATTTCGTTATAGATACAATAGAGACAGATAATAACTTAAACAGCATCAAACATCTGTTTCGTCTTTTAAGGTTTCGTCACTGATATTAAGGACCTAAATTTTGAAACCTACCATTAACAAAATATCAAAATTTAGATAGGGAGATGTACGTGTCCTATTATTCAATAAGAATCATTATGAATTCATCATTTGCCACTTATAAACTTTGTAAGAATTTCACGAGATTTGTACGAAGTGTAAAAATCACTGCCCATAAATAAAAAAAATGAAAATTAACGTGTTTCTTTAATCTTAACGCTAATCTCTGCAAAAATCTCTCTTTTTTGCCCAAGTTTTGTTGAATTTGAGTTTGGATTATGATTATGTTCACCTATTTGTTTTTTTATGTTATTGAACACTTAAATCTCCATTTCTAGAAGGAGACAATTGACATGAATCATTCGTAATTTATCATTGATATAGTAGCTGTTGCTAGGTTTATTCATTTGTTTGTAGTGGATACTTAATATAGGTATTTCAAATATTTAGTAATCAAAGAATCCGTATGCACTTATCGATAGTTGCACTGTGTATTTTAAATGCATATTTATAACCTGTTCTATTGACTTCTATGAATGGTTAATGCTGTTCTCCGTTACATTATTTTCTTACAAAAAGGTTTTTTTATTGAATCGGTAAACATTGCATTCGGATTAAATGGAACGTCCCTAAAGGATTTCTATATATCATTGTAGACAATCTCAGTACGAGTATGAACGTAGCTTGAATTAAAAATACGAACGTTTTTCTTTTCTATAAAGTTCATTTTTATATCAAGACATTTAACACATAGCAGTGAATCCCTCCTATTTATAACATTTCTAGAAGGAATTTGGCAATTATTCGTCTTTTTCTCGTACTGTGCATTGAATATCAAGTGATATATCTATATTTAGAATGCAAGCACGCCGGTTTGATTTTAGAAAATATATTATGAAAACAAGACATATATTAGAAAATTTTCAAACACATATTTGTAATTATTATAATAAAGATTTGATAATACTACAAGTGAAGTAAAACAAACTGATTGAATTTTTAATATAACATATTTCTATTTCTCTTATATGGAGGTAAGTTCTTTTGATGGTCTATCTGTCCTCGCGGTTACTAGTAATTATGTAGATGGGGTCCTTGCTGTCATTGATTACTACCATGTGTTCTATAAATATTGTATCCAAATGTTCTATATAAAAAAACCTTAGAAACACTTCCCATTTCTTCTGTATTTATGCATATATATGGGGAAACTTTTAGATATAACACTTTCGCTCTTTTTTTACTTCCGTACAACAGATCGAGTCAAAATGATCAAAAATTGTCCCCCGCAGCTGCGAAATGATTCTTATTTTTTATCTTTTGCATGAGCTTACTTAATGTCCACTAATTTACAGGAATGAAATGTGGTTTTTTTTGTTGAGGACGAAAGATGGTAAATATTAGTGAATCAATTTGACAGAATAGATGACATGACCGTTGCAGACTTGAAATCAAGAATATGATGAAACTCTTCGGGATAATAAATTTAGAAATTTCTCAGTCATGACAAACAAATACTTCATCATTGTAGACGAGCTATAACGTAGGAGGTCAGGATAGTGCCACGCACATTCACTTAAGTGAAGACTTTCTGGCTGCAAACTCTGGATATGTAGAGTATGGGTTAAATGAACAAAACTATAGAAAGACAACCCAACTCAAAACAGAACAAAACCTGGAATTGTGACTTAACCTTAAGCTTGGACGTCTGGGTTATTACAAATGATGAAAGAAAATGTGACAATAGAGATATAAAAAGTTATACGTTTGATGCCTGTTGTGGAGTTTGGTGATAATACTATCGGTATTATCATACTGCAAGGGAAGCTCAGGGTTTATGTCTGATGTGACCATTCTCGGCAAACTTTTTATAATTGAAAAAAAGTTTTGTAATGATATAAGACTTTATGTAATTGTAAATGTTTGATAGTGACCTGACAATTTTGCTATTTTGTCATACAAAGAACCGTTGGAGTTTGGAAGTGAACTAATCGAGTGTTCGTAATCAAGTTTCCCGTTAGGGAACTTTTTTTGTCAAGTTCTGTTCAATTGTATAGAGCTTGGTATTTATGTAACCACTTTTGTCAAAGTTTATGTAATTCATCTTTATAATACATTGTAATGTTAGTAATTGTGAAGGTTTGGTATTAAGATGGCCATTATACCCCGCTGAAAATAAAATAACAATTATGCGAACAACTGTATCCTATTTGTAATTTTTATTTCCATTGGTACGTGGTTTCAGGACGAAACTGAAAGAGCTGTAAGCAAGAAGGTACTGTCAGACAGAGTATGGAGGGACAAGCCTAATTAATCAGTAATCCTGAAAGACTTGGAGTGATATGAACTTGGACCTGATGTGAGGACATTATTGTTTAAAGCTTTTTAACAGCATGCATTTAGAATTTTTTTTAAACCTTAAAACGAAATTAAAAATAATATATTATTCGTGTTTGGAAATTGTATCTCTATAGCTATTAAATGTATGTTTTACAGTTTTTCATATCTCTATAGTAATTAATCGTATCAACGCCATTAAAATGGTGATATATAATGATAAGTCGGACGATTTGATTTAACACCCTTTCAATGACTACTTTCACTTTCCACATGAAAATCATTGTGTTGGATGAATTCTTTAATTGACATATCATTATCATGTTCACCTCAGGCGAAACAAGAACGTGGTCCGATAACGTCGTTGTCAGTCCCGCTTGTCAGTCCCTATCTTTTACCCGATCAGGATTAACCTCACCTCGACGTGTCATATTTGTACTATACCCAGTAAATATTTTGATAATTTTAAAGCGTTTGGTTTTTTTCAACATTTATTTATCTACAAATATTTTCTCTATCTTCTATGTGTTCATATGACAATACAGATAATTGTTGTAAATAAAAACATAGATAAATCAACAATGTAACAAGAAGATTGTCACTTACCATGCTGGTATATCATGTACATACATCAATGTTTTCATTCTAATTAATTCTGTCTATGTTATAATTTTTATATACATTTACCTATATGCACCTCATTTCAGTGTAGTATGTTTGTAAACAAAGCATATTGATTTAGTCTACGTGCGAAAAGTAACAAATTTGCTTTACCTATTTAGTAGAAAAAAATGCATTAATCTGCTTATATTCATAGACATTAAACATGTTTGCTTCTTACGTTTACTTGAGGACTCAAAATGTTTCATCAATTTTCACAGAAAATATCACATTATTTTGATTTCTGTTCAGAAAGAATATTTAAAGCCGAGTTTCATTTATTGCATACAGATACAGTATTGTATTATGTTAAAGACGACAGATATGAATTGAAAAATTCATTTCATATAAGGCTAAAGTGTCGAAATATCAGAGCTAAAGACACAAATAGGCTTATATATGACAAACATACAGTATGTAAAATTAACCTATGTTTATATACCACCAATAAATCTTATTGGAGATAATTCATTTAATTATGGCTATCAGATTTGCTAAACATAGAAGCACGGACGCAGTCCCGATCACTTGGATAACCAGCTATAGTTGCTATATTTGAAACCAATCCGCATGTGTTTTGACCACCAAGGATGAATATTTTGACAGGGCCTTCCTTGTATGATTAAAAACCTGCTATTTTGTGTTCAGTAAGGGTATTCGGATCCTTGCTTCCAATTAAATTAGACTCCGGTACACACGTGTCCGCGAAATTGTAGCTCCGCCCACGAGGGCGGGCCTTACACCGCGAGCTCTCAGTGAAGTCGAATTTCAACCAATGATAGCGCGTTTTACATCGCTCGGGTTTCGGTAATGTGTACTGAAGATAAATTGGCGATGATAGCGGTATTTTGACACAAATTGTTGACATTGCCACTGCTGAAACATACGGAATAACAGTGTATATACATAGAAAAGAGTTTCATGTTTGTTGAATTGAAACAGTTACTGTTGATTTAACATCCTCTCTCTCAGGAACTTATTATTATATTTTTTGTGATGGAAACAGATGCCCATACTACCGATATTATGGAATCACGATCAGAATCTCCAGAGGCCGTGAAACTTCTACTACAGACTAAACAACATTTATCCCCAAAAGCCAACGCATTCTCCATTGCTGCTATATTAGGAGAGGATACCAAACGGCCATCGGAGTCCCCCTCTCCCCCGAGGGTTCTCGCTACACCTCCTCAAGCAGACACACCTCCAGGTAAGAATTTTCTCAGTATTATAGTATGTAAAGTTTTAAACCATGTGCATTTTGTTACCATTGTGTGAAATAGTAACAGAACGGTTTGAACTTAGTACAGTTTGATATTTCCTTTAATGGTTATAATTCAGTACATTATGTATTACAAATTCATAGTATAAGATACTATGGTAAATAATAAAACAATGTTATTTCTAATATAAATGTATTGTATACCATTTTATACTTATAACCTTAAACAGGAAAATATATAGCGATTATACCCAGTGGACGTTCTACATGTCATAAGTAATAATGAATGAATGTTCATGTAAGTCCGGATATATCTTTCAAATTTTATCCCAATATTCAATTTCAAGGCATACTGTTTAGTTCTCAATTGAACTATGAAACATTTTTTATATTTGGCGTCTACAAATGTCTGATTAAGTAATTTATGCCCCAGTTTCAAATCGATTTCTATCGTACGTATATTAAAATAAGGTACTCGATTTTACTAACGAGTATATATTGTCTATACGTTGTTAACATAGAATTATATTCACGTAATATATACATTGGTTTGTATTATTTAATATGCTTTTATATACATCCAACAGTAATTTCGTCTAAACAGAGTTGAACGTGATGTATAAGTTTTGTAATATCTATCCTCAGATGATAAATAGGTGAATGATAAATAATAAACGTAGTGTATTTAAATGGATTAATTTATTTTCCCAAGTTTTAACTTAAGGCATTACACATATCTATTAACATGCATATTTTTGGAGTGTAGTTTTAACGATCTTTAATATAGAGTAGGATTATTTCAATGAAGCTTACAATTATATTTTTCTTTGGCATTATTTACTTTCCTTAAGTAATTATTTTTGGAGTGTAATTTATTCCGTCAAACATTAATTATAATTTTATTTCTCGTTAAATCTGGATTTATATTTGGAATTACGTTTTTTAAGAATCTCAACATTTAAGCTTTATATTTTAAGCATCTACTTTTTATTGACTTGTAACGTTACATCGTTACTTTAACTGTTCCTCTTAAAGAAAACATTTACTGACAGATTTCTACAAATTTAAACAACTTAATACAATTGGTGTGTTTATTGTGAACAGGTGAGGTGTGTTCCCCAGGGGAGGATGAGGGAAGCCGCTCTTGTGGGGCATGTGGTCTGTCCCCTAAGGCACCAGAAGATGTGCCTTATACAGGGGATCTCCCTAACATCAAGTGTAAACTGGAAACCAAAGAATTGTGGGAGAAATTCCATGAACTTGGAACCGAAATGATCATCACAAAAACTGGAAGGTGATTATTTCTTTTTTTCTTACATTTCCCGCAAGCATAGTTTATCCAACGTGATCCCAACAGTACTCATGCTTGAAATATATTGAAAACAGAGAAAATTACATTGTACTTGATTGACTACGCTTTATTAAATTATCATTATTTATTTGTCGTCTGGCAGTATAATAATATGGACAACAGCAAATGACAATAACTATTATTTTATGTGAATTTCAGAAAGAAAAATGTTAAGATAACTAATGGCCAAGAAAATATATTTCTGGTATTGGCAAAATATTTTCGAAATTAGAATAAATTATTTGTGAGTCTTTCCTTACAAAATAATATTCTGGTATTATTGTTGAAATGAAATTATTACATAGATTAAATTATATATTTTAAATAATACATTATAATTGTGTGTTTCAAATAATACTAAGCTTTATTTTTCTGACTGTTTCTCATGTTATAACGGTACAATTTGTTTCACTTGTGTTGAGCCTGGTCTTTGATCTAATTTAGAGAAAGTATCAATGTTAAAAGGTTAATTCCCATTTATCTAAAATCGCATTACTTTCTTTGATGATGGAAATTGATCAAATTAACGCTAGCCGAAACTCTGATTCCTAGTCTAGCCCACCGTGTGAAATCCTTAAAAGGTGATTCCAGGGGTCTACCTGATGTTATTCAGAACAATGTCGTTAGTACACAATTTTACGCTCGTCATCTAGACGCCAAACTTAGTCTTTGATTTTATAAACTTCATCACTAACCTGTAGATCTTCATCCTAAAAGTAAATTACCTGTAAATAGAAGTTGTAAATCAATTAATAGCGCCAAAAGCAGTCTCCCCCGCGCCATCCACTTACACGCCTCGCATACAATGGTCCATAGAATCTCCCTTCCTTTAGTAAGTAAAGTCTATTAAAATGGTGTTGTATAAAAGGCAGCATTCTTCCTCCGGGCAAACTAAGGAGATGTTAAATCCAAGACCTATCATTACTTGGATCAAGTCAAGTGGAAATAGTTTTATAGGTGTGAACTTTAAAAACAAGATTTGTCAAATCGTAATTCGAAATGAAACATTTTGATTTTATTTGAGTTAAATAGTGATTTGCTTGTGTTAAATAGAATGATGTTAGTAATAGCTCTAGGCATATTAGTTAACTCTCAGGAAACGGGTCACATAACAATGGTATCAAACGCGCATCGCTGTTCGCTATCGAATGCAAGTTTAGATTTATTGTTGTTTAAAAAACTAATATCCGGGAGTCAATTTCAGTCTATCAAGAACTACAAACAAATAATAATGTGTGCTGAAAATGTAATATAACACGATAACAATTTGAAAACATGTTAGGATTAATTAATGTTTTTCAACGATAATGACTTTTGTGACATGGAAAAGAGGAAGTTCAAATTTTTCATGCCATTGATTTTGTTAACTACTATTTAACACGCATTTCACTTAGTGATCTGATATATCTTAAGTACTGATGTAAATCACTGATAAGTTGTTAAAAGATAAGTAACACAGTAAGTTAGGAGTATTAAATGATTTATAGTAACTTATCAATAGGTATGTTATGATATTGTGACATAGAGATAAGCATACAGTTGACAATACAAAGATGGTAATGTATTAAAGCAATGTTTATGTTACAGGCAAGTTAATGCTTCTTAGTATCCTTATTATGACAGGAGACATGGTATATTACAGTACAGTTATTATTAGTAAAAACAGCAAGCAAATGTGTTAATGTACTTTAAGTTTCACAATAAAAATAGGTGTGTTACTCTTCTGTTACATTTTAAGGGAGGATTAAAAATCCGATATGTAAAAGCATTGAAATTTCAACTCAGAATTGAGAAATATGTGTTTGAAATAAAGTGAAAAATGAAAGATAAAAATATTGTAAGAATGCTTATGGATGTGTGTTACAGAACTGTTATCATTAATGGAACAAGTGTGGTACACTGAACACTACACATTTATGGTGGTGTTACTCTAGCATTTCAGAGTAAGGAGAATTATAGTACTATTGGAACTATAAAGATATGATTCTATTTGATCAAAAAATGACTGATTACCAGTAAGGCAAAATATTACACGGCGATAAGTGATTTGTAGTATTAAATAATATTACAGACACGAGTTATTTCAATATCGCTAAACAGACGTCGTTAACTCAGGCCAAAAAGTACAAGTTGATTTGCCTGACTTTTTTGTACGAACGAACAGAGCTAGGACACACCTGTTTCACATTTACATTGTGAAATGTTGCTTTTTTTCACCCTCGATATACGGGTACGATATGTCAGCGTTGAGACCTTAATAACATAGACAAAGCCAACAGAGTGGATAAGATACCGGAAACTAAACAAAGACCACTACTTCTACTACCGACTCATTTACTGTGTTAAGATGGCGTGTAATATGGTCTTATATCTACACACTGCAACCTTAAACGAGGTTAATTTTCTACCCCTGCTGCTGGGTATGATGACTACTAGTTAGATAGCCCATAATTTACAAATTATTTCGAATTGAAAAGAGTCTGATCACGCGAGCTCGAGACACGATATTTCCCCACCTCCGCCTGTTACAAATCCAATACAAGGTTAGGGGGAGGCTTTTGCCTGTAGAAAGTCGTATTTCAAGTTTAGTAGTCTTAGAGGCGTGACGATAGGGCGTTTAGTCTACAGAAATTCATAAATAAAAGACATTACACTGCAGTAAAAATATTAGGTTGAAAATGTGTATTAAACAGTGTAATGAGAGACACTGATCTATTGTGTGAGTATTGTCTTGTCTTCGTCACGCGCAACACTCTGACGTGTCAAACTTGTACAGAGAAACAGATAATGAGCATGTGATGGGAAAGAAAAAAAGTGTGTAATGATGCTGGCTCTATCATACTTCATCAAGGCCATTACCGACACATTGGGCGGAATTACATCACATGGCAATAAGTATGGGGTGTTCCCGATACACGTGCGCTCGTCACAATACCGTAACAGTTGGCCAGCTATCATCGCGATAAAGCATTAAAGAATCGTTCACACGTGCAAAACAGCAAAAATAAAAGTTTAAAAGTCCCATATAAAAGATAGAGGGAGCAAACGAGTTTTTTGTATAATCTCTCTGAGATGTTATAAGACCCGTATATGCATTCGTCATTATATAAATGATATCAAATCGATTATAGTAAAACATTGGATAAAATTGCTTCATGATTTAGATATGGATGAACTCTATGTTAAACTATAACTAAAAAAATGCTAAACTGTAATAAATTAATTTGTTTTGTAGGCGTATGTTCCCCACTCTGAGGGTGTCCATGGCAGGTCTTGAACCGGAAGCTCAATACGTGGTCTTGATGGACATTGTCCCGATGGACAACAAACGCTACAGATACGCCTATCATCGGTCATCTTGGCTCGTGGCTGGAAAAGCTGACCCGCCTCTCCCTACAAGGTTCTCTGTTCATCCTGATGGTCCATTCACTGGTCAACAACTCATGAAACAGACCTTGTCTTTTGAAAAAATAAAATTGACGAATAATATGCTCGACAAAAATGGACAGGTAAGTTTTCTTCCCATTTTCGTCTATTAAACATTCAACAGCAAAATTATTTTTTGGAAAGAATTAATAATTTGATTTAACTTTTTTACCATTCCATATACCATATACCGTATGTCTAAAGTAATGTATAATTTCATGTTATTCTGCTGTTTCCATAGATGATCCTGAACTCGATGCACAAATACCAGCCAAGAATCCACATTGTAAAGAAGAAAGCCACTACGCCTAATACAATCACAAACCTAGAAGGAGAGGAGTACCGAACGTTCGTCTACCCGGAAACCGTGTTCATTGCAGTAACTGCCTACCAAAATCAGTTGGTGAGTAGTAGACGACGGACTTTTTTCCATTTGGGAGGGTGCTGAAGCAAAAAGGTTAAATGTCGCATTGTTATCTAAGCAAAACACAACCATACATACACTTTATATCCGGCTACTATTTCCTCTCCTGACGAAAATCAACAAAGACTGATTTAGTAAGACAACAAACGAATGAAACATTAAAAAGCGATAAAAGAACAGTTTTAATGACGTTTTCCACTAGAATTTGGCAAGACATAAATATCTGCCCGATTACAACCCTATAACCCAGCTATCTTGACGACTACAATATAAGCAATTTCACGCTGCTTACAGAGTCGTTCGAGTAGTCTTTTGATATCTTAATAAGTATCTTATTATGCTATTATCATTATTCCCCCCAAGATGGGGCTGCCTCACAAACCATCCAAGGGTCATTGGTGTATGAACGACTCGGTGTCTCGTGGTAACACCGCTGGGGTCAAACAGATACAGAATCCTACCCATGTCGGCGGATTCAGTTACTGTCGCTGTGTGGTCCTTACTGGGCTCAGATAAAACATTACAGATACAAATACAATGAATAAAGTTAAACTTTGATAAACTTAATACAAGTGCAAACATACGCAAGAAGTAAGATAAATATATATGAGTGCGGAAGTAACTTATACTCAAAGCATGCATATTCTGACATAATTTATTCATTTTTTTATTCTTTTGGAATTTACAATGATATAAAATATAACTTCATTTTCTATTCACCAAAAGTTTTGAATTATATTTTTTTGTCAGATCTTATCTCACATCAAATAGTTAGCTATTTATTTATTTTCTTTCTTTATCAAAATTTATAGCATCCTATTTATCTACTTTAAATTGCATTCTCGATAAGTAAACAAAACATAATGGATGTTTATTTAATTCGATTCCTGATCTCATTGTTTTAGATAACCAAACTGAAAATTGACAGCAATCCGTTCGCGAAAGGATTCCGAGATTCCAGTCGTCTTACAGATGTTGAAAGGTAAGTAATAAAATGTGAAATATAATCTTGTTATTTAAATACCATATAAATAGATGTTATTTCAATATAAATTATCTGTATATGTTACGTTTTCGTTTGTATTGATTAAATTCTATTTCCCTAGTTTATAACTAAGGTGTTCTTTATCCCATACACACAGCAGAGCTTATTATTTTTTTCTTTGAAAAGTACATGCTTTTTGCTTCAAGATGCTGCAAATTAAAAACTATAAATCAAAAAGACTTTACGGTATAAAGGAACTTCAGTATTGACAAAAATAACTGATTTGTTAGACTTTTGTAGAACTTATAGCAAAAATCAGTATAAAACGCCATTTAATGTTGAAACATATAAATGAAACGAATTTAATAATAAATGTATTTATATCACCAGGGAGACTATGGAGAGTCTGATGCAGAGTCATAACTACATACGATCACCCTTACCCATGTCAGGATCAGAAGAGAATTATAAATACAGAGAGGCAATGCTAGCCAGAGGTACGTTTTATTTTCATCAATTATTCCAGTTACAGTTTTTAAAAAAAATATCAATACTACAGAAACGCTTGAATTGACCAGTATATAACAATGTTGAAATATTGGGATATTAACATTTAAATAGAAACTGCATTAATATTTATTAATGTTAGTGAATTCCATTTTGATATTTTATCCCAAGTCTTCAAAATGAGATATTATTTGAACAAAAATATTTTTACTTTTATATACAAATTATACTATATTATAGCCGATCTATATCTAAACATTATCTCATTTCTTTTTCCAGAATCAGCTTTTCCGATGGGATTATTACAAAGTGCCGGTGCTATTCAATCAATGTTTCCCGCCGGATTTTCTCCATATGCTGGAATGATGTCACTTCCGCAAAACGCCTCCGCCGAGCAGGCTTTACTGTTACGGAATCATTTGTATAAGACAACATTACAGAGCTCGCCGACCATGCCCAGTGTACACCCTAGTCAATACTACAGATATCACCCTTACACGAACTTTGCCAAGTCTAGACATAGTGACTCTGTCTTATGAACCTACTGTGATTCACTCCATCATTTTAACCATTTATATTGAAATCGTCTTTCATCAATGAACATTGAATCTTGCCTATCATTTGACCGAATTTTATTTTATCATTAAATTTTGTATTTTACTTTAGTCAGAATTGTGAGAAAAGAGGAAAATCAAACATATATCTTTCTTAAACATAACTTTAAAAAATACCTGGTTAAAATTTTGTTTTTAAATTCATCATGACTTCGATGCTTTAAACTGATAATACCTCTATTGGTAAAAGAATGGTATTTAAAATCTTACATTAACAGGTAAAAAATTGATCAAAACTGATTCTGGGATCAAATGGCAGATCATTTACTCGTGAAGAGAAGTATATCAGGTGCTATTTAAAATAGGAACTTAAGACTTATAATTTCATTTGAAGAACAATTTAAGTTATAGTTCCTGGATAAGTTGTTATTGTTGTCATATTTCATTTATTGTTGTGATTTTTTCATTATAATATTACGAAACGTAAACTCGTGAAGATGTAAATATTGATTATTGATTGAATAAAATATTGAATGTTATGAATGAAAAACTGCGTTGTAGTTGATGTTTCAACGTTGTTCCATTAACAATATGTTGAAAATAATACCATGTATGGTCTCCATTTCCACTCATTCGCGAGTATTTAGCCTTTTATGTCGGGGTGAATAGGAACTAGATGGTGCTGACTTACATTGAGTTGTTTCTTATATTGATCTATGCAGCGTTTATGATATACAATATACATGTATACCACTAATTTAAGATAGTCTACGAGTTAAGATGATATCAACAGAATATTGTGTGTAGATGATGTCAATATAATATTGTACGTCAGACACACAGTTAAATAGAACCTTCCAATACAAATATTAGATAGAGACAAACAATAAACTAAACTGCATCATACAACTGTTTGTCAGAAATCTTAAGGGCCTTAATTATGAATACCTAAAAGGTATACTTTTGAAAATCCAGACTAATCAAATAAAAAATCATCAGATATCAAGTTTAGAGGCCTTTAACTCCAAAATAAATATAACTTATAGACAAAGACAATATGTCTACCATTCTGATTTACAAGAATGCCGTACAATAAAGTGTAAAACGACAATATTCTCAATAACCGGATGATAAATAATGATAATATTTATGAATTCATGAGGAAAACATTTTGCAAAATTGGTTTATATGTATTTACATTTAAAGGATTTTGTTTTCAATACAGCATCCTTATGTTATATGAACTCAGCCTGATAGAAATAAGTGTGAGCAAATAGTGTTTTAGTGCTTTTCACTATCAATTGTAACGGTTTGTAAGAACATAAGTCATCAGATAAGCATATTTTTCCAGTTGTAACTCATATATGATCGAACAGGTTTTATAGCGTCTGTCCGTTGGAAATTCTGTTGTATATGAAGATGTTAATCCCTTACAAACTGAGTAAATACTACAACCATCATCTTCCATTATGGTCGATGATGAAGGAGCACTTTGTTGGTAGGTTTTCAAAACAGACAGATACGTGTTAACATATATATAGTGAGGCCATCACTCCTTGATCAGATTGTATTGTAAGGCAACTCGGGCGTAAAAATATCCCTCTTATTCTTATTATACAGGCCTGTATTGAGACTAACGCAATACTGTTAGCTGCAGTGAGATATGTTGAAAACATTTTTATGCCGAGTAACACAGAACAATATATAATTGTTAACAGCTCGAAAGGGTGTTCCTCCACACTCACGCAAGATCTGAAAGCTGAACGGTGTGAGAAACACGGAAAAGAAAATCCCATGAGCAGTGGTATATTTCACTTAAGCCTTATTTCTGAAATTTAAATATTCTCCTTAAATGACCCTTATGTGGTTTGTTAAAGGTTGATAAAACACCTGCCCAGCTGACACGTTTTGTTTTTTTACTTGACTTTGTTACATACCTGTGATTAGCGATGAGATAGCAATCAAGCGATTGTTACACAAGGACGTGAGTCAGAGGCAGACAATGCGCGAAGGTATCAAGAAGTACGTTGAGAATTTGGTCATGGACTCTTTTCACGGACAGGTAGGTACTCAGGTGTCGTGTTTTAACCAGTATCACGTGCTTTAAGTGATCAAAAACAGGTAGCAAATAAATCTAAGGACTGATCTGTGTAATTAGCATCAATCTGACTCACGGATTTTCTTTGAACAAATGAGCTTTGACAGAATAAAAATGTTCAAGCTTGTTTACACTGGTGAGCGAGTATATAAAATATCATTACATTCTAAGTCCTGATTAAGTGTCATTTAAATAAATCACTCAAACGTTGGACATTGCTATCAAATAGACTTCAACTGCGTTTAACAGACAAAACACACTAAATTGGGCGTATTTACCACTGATATAAAGCTTCTTTATCAAAAAAAGAAATTTTACTGCTGATGATGAAGACCTTTTCCTTTAAAAAAAACTAATCAGTCATTGATGAGAAACGGATGAATAGCAATTTGTTTATTTGAAAAGGAATATCTGTTTTCATATATTCTGAAACCAAACGATTTTGAAAGAAATTTGATAACGAAATCATATAGATTATAATGAGAACAAAAAACGAAAACGTATGTAAAAGAGATGAAAACAAATATTTAATATTAATATTAAGAACAACTGCTTGACAATCTCATGTTTATCAGTCAAAAAATAGTCACAAAGAAGGGTATGCTACAGCTGATGATACCGTTGTTGCTAACATTGTCCTCCCTTTGAACGTGACAATGTTTAATTAGATTAACCAAGACTTACATGGCGGATGTTACGGAAGAAGCATAAAACACTTACCCTTCCGGAACATCCAGTCTTATTTTCCTTGATTCCTTGCTGGAGTCATTTTTTCATCATATTTTGCCCTTGCTCAACAAATTGGAGTTTGAATAAAGATTCAGTTGACATGTTGAGATTTTCTTTGTAAAAAAAAATAAACGTATAAATTTTGCTTTATAAACATATCTAATATAGTATGTGTTGTTTGCTTCAGTTTCAATGTATTATTTGATTACGACGTATAGTAAGTTAATATCATTTACGTTTATAGTCTGTTGTTCTGTCTACGGAATCACCAATTTATCTGAAGTAGTTATATATCATTACTTAATACATTATGTATGTAGGAGTAGGAGTAGGTGTAGGAGGAACTTAACATTTGGCGAAGACAAATATTTGTATGGGAGGGCGGAAATATCCATGGGTGAATGTTTCTGGTTCACAGCAACATAATTTCATGATATATTGAATGCTACAATTAGTAAAGTAAAACAAACGTACACCAATAGTGTATCCTATAGATGAAGGTCTCATACAAGGTAAGCAAAATATGAAAATCTCGATCATGATCGAAAAACAAAACATCTTATTTGAAAACATCCTGTCAATCTTATCGCTATAAAGAGAAGGACGGTTCTATAACACATTAAAACAAAAACAGGTCAAATCTGGGATATCCCTGAAATGATAATCCTAAACAAATTTCAAATTATTATTGTACGTAAGTTGGAAATATATACTGTACCATGTGTTAGCCTTTGTACGCCATTATAAATTGTTATAAAATGTTTATTTTAAACCTGAATTACGATATACATGAAACACTGTCTTGCCGATTAGTTAACCTGTGGTCTTATTGCCTCGTTAATAAAAGGACAAAAATCAAAAGTAACTTGAGTTTTAAATTAAAGATTAATCATAGATTATTAGACTCGGGACGAATGTAACATTTGACGAATACAAATATTTCTATCGGGGTCGAACAAGATTTGAATTAATGTTATCATGTTCACTGCAAGGATTAATTGAAAATGAAATCGTTCGAATTCTGCCGTAAGGGTTAAGATGTAAGAACACTTCGGGTACACTTCGGGTACACTATAGATGACAGGACGATACTTCAGATTTCAGAGCTATGTTTCACTCTTTTGTAGTATTCAGAGGTTTGGTATTCCTAATGAATCAAACCTCATCAAATTGACACACACACATATATATATATATATATATATACAATTTCAGACGAAACCCTGACTTGCTAATTAGCATTCTGCACCCGGACACATTCATATGGTATCTTAGTGAGAATAAAGTACATGGTTTATTCGTGAACTCCAAGCCGACTGTATGTGAGTGAATTTGATACATTTCTCCTATCGTGAAAATGTAAGTTAGGGGTTTGATACAGTCTAGTGTTACCACTATGCGTGTCGCGTTGGGGTAAGTCATTTAGACATATCCGTATGCTTCATTACCCATAATTTTGACGGCTTTTTTCATGTTGAAGGAATTTGCTTGATAGATTCTTAAATTTTATGTGAGGCCATTGGATGTTGTATAGTTGCGTAATTTATCCCTATACAATAATTAAGTTATATCGGGTTGATAGTACAAGGACCACCCAAACGGGGGTAAATTAACTCCTTAGGGGAAGTTAAACATTTTATTGAATTCGCAGGTAACACGCAAACGAAAACAATACTCAGCTTGGCTTGGTAATTAGATAGCTCGGGGTTGAGAATGTTTGAGAGAGAAAGTAACATTTATTTGTGACTGAGCGATATATACAGTCATGGGTCAGTGATTTCTCTAGACTACACTGCACTCGTTGTGCAGTAAGGTGCATGTTATATGTATAGAGGATACACACAGACATATATATGTCTACATGGATACATTTTACATCACTGTCTGCGCAACTGGTGGTTTGAAATTTTATCTCTCCACGTGGTCTTTTCCACACACACAATCGACCTTCAGAAATGATAGAATCTCACCACTACGTAGGAAAATATATCTACTTTATTTCAGATATGCTTCAATACTTAAGTCATATGTTTCCTCTTTTTTCGTGTTTCCATTATGTTACAATCACTTCTGCCTTCTGTCGTTTCATTTCTTCTCTCTTGCCGATATACTTCCTTATTTTCGTACACTCTTTCTACCTTTTACATGAAGCTCATTAACCTTTCTGCTTTCTCCTGTCAAATTAAAGGAATATGTGCTTTGAAATTATCGCTGTATGAACTAGGTCTGTGCTTTATTT